AGCATAAATAAAAGCTTAGAAAAGTAGAAGGTAGCATACCCGTAGCCTCTGGAGTCTAAGGCTCTTGTATAAAAGAAATCTCCCTGTATGAGTAAGCTCATGACGTGACTCCACGGCACTTTCTACCCCTTGGACTTTCGAGGTGTCATTCCGGCTTCCGGAGATCTCTTGCTGTGGGACTTGCTCGTTGTGACAGCACCACATGGCGGACCGGCATTAGCCGACAGAAAGTCAACGATGACGGCCCGCGCCGATTAGACAGGCAACGTTTTGGGTGCGTGCTCAATCGCTCTATTCGTTGACAAGTATGAATTGCTTCAACGGCCAGTATCCAATGTTTACCCGGCTTTGTCCATACAATGACCGACAATTAGAAGCTCAACGATTGAGATGGCAGCCACGGCATGTTCTTGTCGTAAGATGTGTCTGAGTAATAAACCAAGGTTTATGTGGTGAAAATGTTACTGGCTGGAAGACGATGCGAACAATAGGGGCAGTGGGGTGGATCAGGATGACGCTGGCGATGAAGTGAATTGCGTCTTCCTGATAAGCTCGAGTATGGGTTCGAACGCCATTCGATTCTTCTCTACATCATTAATTACAGTGCAAAGGTTCATCTCATCATTCGTTTCAAAATGTCAAGCTTCGCGATGGCCCGGTGGTGGTCCATGTCTATTCCGCAGATCCGGCGCGTTCCTGCATCGGTGTTTCTGCCAAGCTCGCAATCTCCAGGGGTCAGCAATGCTCGATGCAAGGCGCCTATTGTAACTTTTATCGTTTTTACCGCGATAACAGCTTTGCAGCGCTCAATCTTCTCTATCAGTTCTCAATGGCGCGATATTGCGTGATTGAAGCTGCCATCAAAGACCAGCTTCTGTCTAGGGCAGTCCCCGTCTGACCCCGGTCCACTCATGTGAGCAATATGCATATTTTCATGTCTAATTTCGCTCCTCGAACCTCTTTCGCCGCTCTTTCGCCGCCAAGCTCTGTCCATGGATTACCCCGCATGCTCCTCGGCTCTTCCCCATTGGATCGCACCCCAATGACACCTTGAGCTGCCTTCGGTTCTTCGGTGGAACATCTGCGGGACCTGCAGTCCGGCTCAATTGCCCCGTCAGGGAGGTGGTCAACATTGGACGGTTGGACCCTTTGCCCGTCTCCTTTCCTCCGCCATCGGTGCAATTGTACCGAACAGGCCAAGCCTTTGGGGAAAGCTCCCCCTCCTTCACCCAAAATTACGTCGAAGCTGGTTGCTGCTCTTGCCTAGCTTCAGGTTGGTCAACGGCGACTCGAGGAGGAACGACTCAGCAACCCTCTTGACCGCAATCTAAGCTGCAGATCTAGCGGCAGGGCAGCGTAGCATCTAGCACCTGTGCGGGCGACTTGCCGAGAAAGATGGAGCGAAGAGATGGCATCATCAGATTGGGAAGTCGCGTCGGGCCAAGTCCTGGGCGCAATGGTCCGTCCCAGGTGTGACTTCGAGATCACCGTGCCGGATGATGCGATCTCGAGGCAGTGCTGCGGGCCAAGACTTGACTACGGTGACGGATGACATATAATTCGCACCCCATTGCCCCGATGCTCGAGTCGTGTCTTTGAAAAGGGACGCGACAGCCGCATCTCTTCATTCCAGAGGCAGCGACATCCAGTCGTTCGTTCACTGTTACAGTCTCAAAGCCCAAGGATGTCTCGCTTCGTCCTCGGCCTCGTGGCCCTCACCGGCCTCCTTGGCTCGGCAGACGCCCAGAACAGCACCGGAAGCAGCGCCAATGTCAAGTGGCTCGGTCGCACGCCCTTATACAACTCCGGCACGACGTTCGGTCTTCCCTGGGCCAAGGGCAAGCACTACCCCAACTCGACCGAGTTCACCATCTCCAGCGGCGGCCCGTTGCAGTCGTGGGTGACGGCCTACTGGCCCGACGGCTCCATCAAATGGTCCGCCCACGCGATCCCCGAGTCCGACACGATCCTCGACGAGTACACCGTCAGCGCGTCTTCCGCAAACTCGACGGCTCGATTCTCCCGTGCGAAGAGACAGTCCAACAGTGGTCTTACCGTGACGGACTCATCCGATGTGGTGAGCGTCGACACCGGCAAGCTTGCCATCACCTTCCCCAAGTCAGGCAATGCGGTCGTCAGCGAGATCAAGACTGCCTCCGGCAAGGTCATCGGCCAGAACGGCAAGCTGGTCCTGCACTCGCAGTCTGGTGTCGAGGATTACGCCGAGGCTAAGGGTCAATCCGGGATCAACTACTTCAACTTCGAGAGCAACATCGAAGAGGTCACCGTCAGCAAGGACAACACAGCGCGAGCTCTTGTCACTGTCCGCGGCAAGCACCAGGCGGCCGACGGCGGTCACGATGATTGGCTTCCCTTCATTCTGCGCTTTTACACCTACGCCAACTCCGAGGCGGTTCGTATCGTCCACACGGTAGTCTACGACGGCAAGGCCGAGGAGGACTTCATCTCCGGCCTCGGTATCCGATTCGAGGTTCCTCTTGAGGGAGAAGAACAATACAACCGCCACGTCAGAATCTCTGGTGTCGATGGAGGGTTGCTCAGCGAGGCCGTCCAGGGTATCACTGGACTGCGCAGAGACCCCGGTGCCCAGGTCCGAACCGACCAGTTTGAGGGCACCGAGCTCGCTGACCCTGCGACCTGGGACCAGAGAGTCACGACCAGACTTCACTGGATCCCCACCTGGAGCGACTACAGCTTGACCCAGCTGTCTCCCGACGGCTTCACCTTGAAGAAGCGCACCAAGGCCGGCCAAAGTTGGATCAACATCCCTGGCGGCACTCGTGCCGGCGGTCTCGCGTACCTTGGTGGTGCTACCAAGGGTGGTCTTGCTGTCGGCCTGCGAAACTTCTGGAAGCGCTACCCTACTGGCATCGACATCACCAACGCTGCTACCGAGAAGGGTGAGATCACGATCTGGATCTACAGCCCTAATGCCCCTCCTCTGGATCTTCGTCCCTTCCACGATGGTCTCGGGCAGGAGGACTATGCTGACCAACTCGATGCTCTCGAGATCACCTACGAGGACTACGAGCCCGGCTTCAACAACCCCTACGGCATCGCCCGCACCAACGAGATCTTCCTCTACGGCTTCGAGCAGACCCCTAACCGAACGCTGCTGTCCGACTTGACCGACCACACCAACAACCCTCCCGTTCTCTTTGGCGAGTCCGAGTACCTCGCCGAGACCAAGGCCATCGGCACCTACTGGGCTCCTCCCGTCGCCAACCCCAACGCTCAGGCTGCCAAGATCGAGGACCACCTCGACTTCTTGTTCAAGTTCTACGAGGGCCAGGTCGAGCAGCGCAAGTGGTACGGCTTCTGGGACCACGGCGACTTCATCCACGCCTACGACACCGACCGTCACCAGTGGCGCTACGACGTCGGTGGCTACGCCTGGGATAACTCCGAGCTTTCTCCTGATCTGTTCTTCTGGAACTACTTCCTGCGCACAGGACGCGAGGACGTTTACCGCTTCGCTGAGGCTCAGGTCCGCCACACCGGCGAGGTTGACGTCTACCACCTGGGCGATCTCAAGGGTCTCGGTACCCGTCACGGTGTTCAGCACTGGGGTGACAGCGCCAAGCAAGCTCGTATCTCGACTCCTCAGTACCGCAAGGTCTTCTACTATGTCTCTGGAGGCGACGAGCGTGTTGGCGAACTCATCGAGGAGCTTCTCGACACCGACAAGACTTACGGCGTCCTCGACCCTAACCGCAAGGTCCGCACCGACGGCTGGGTTCCCACTCCCAATGCGTCTGTTGCTGTTGGCCTTGGAACTGATTGGTCATCCCTTGCGGCCGGTTGGCTCATCGAGTGGGAGCGTCGTGGTCCTCGCTGGGAAGAAGCCCGCACCAAGCTTGTCAACACCGCTGCCAGCATCGCCAAGCTCAAGAACGGCTTCGTCACCGGCTCTGGTCTGTACAGCATCGCCAATGGCACTCTTGGCCCGCCCCCTGCGGACCCCAACAACGAGGGCCTCGTCGCCGTCTCCCATCTGTCAGCTGTGTTTGGTCTCCTCGAGGTCGTCGCCGAATTCATCGAGCATGCCGGTGAGGAGGTCCCTGAGGGCTTCGAGGCTGCCTGGTATGACTACTCCTACTACTACGGTGCCGGTGCAGCTGAGCAGACGGCCCGCTATGGCAAGTCCTTCGGCAACCTCAACCTCAAGCAAGGACACTCTCGTCTCACTGCTTACGCCGCGCATCGCCAGAACAACGCGACGTTGGCTGCTCGCGCATGGAATGAGTTCTTCAACACTGATGGCTTCAAGGAGTCTTCGCCTTGGAGCACTGTCCACTTCAATGGTAGTGCGGTTCTGACACCTATTGATGAGGCTGCTTGGGTTTCTACCAATGATGCTGCGTTGTATGGGTTGGCCTCGATTATCAACCTTGCTCTTGTAGGAGAGTACCTGAGTTAGACCATATGAGGTTTCCATTTAGGTATCTCTTTGTAGCTATTCAAGTATGCTTCATTTTCTTGTACAAATTACCTTTACTTCAGTTACATATACAACAATACGATGTTTCGCAAAGCCCTTTTGTCAATTGCCATTAGATACGGTGAAGATGGATTCCTTGTAGTATGGACTCTTCATGGCATACTAGAAGACATTGAATTCAACTCAGGTTTCAAATATTGATGGTATTTCAATTGTATGAGTTCTTCACAATTGTCTGGTTCTGCGACTGATATGGACTTTAGATTACACCCTGATGGTTTGGTTCCGCTTATTGACTCAACCTTGACTCACTCGGGAGCTCTATTCAGACCCTTGCCACTCCCAAGGTATCTCCGTTTGCTCTCTTCTTCCTTTGTTATCGGAGAACATTCCCCGTCCTGAAGTTGAGAAACTCTCCGGCACTTCCCACAGCTTTTGTGAATTTGAAAACTTCTCTGCGTCTTTGTTACCACCTCAGAAGGCGATCAGATTTCATTACAACACAATAACGCCTTGCAAAGGCATCGATCGCGAAATCATGGATGACGTGGATATTCTTGCCGATCTGGAGGAGATAGCCTCAAAGGCTCTGAACGAGCCAGAGGATGTCGATCCTCTTCCCTCCGATATCATGGACCATCAACGCCACATGGACCTAGAGGCCCCTTCTAAGATACCCGACCAAGTTACCAAGCTCCTGAAGTTTGGTAAAGCAAAGTATCTCATCAAGCTCGAGAAGCCAATTGATTCACTCAAGGATGTCCGTCGTCTAGGACGCATGCCCATGCCACCCGAGGTGTTCAGTGCGACCAACGAGGATGGAGACAAAACCAAGTTCTGCAAGATTGGAGAGGAGTCGAAGTTCCACATCTTGCAGCATTTCCGCCAGACCAAGCCCCATTTTCAACCTACCATCATCAAATATAACGTGGCCGACAAGGACCTTTTCAAGACCTCAATCTACCCAACTCTTGGATGCGACGCCACGTTCCCGCAGAACCGCATCACCGGCGACGACGACCAGAGGCTCCGGCCTGCCCAGGACGAGTATCCGGTATGGTACTTCTTCTACGGAACGCTCGCGGACCCCGCCGTCCTTCGGGAGCAACTGGGTGTGGAGCCTGACTATCGCGAGGCATCAATCAAGGGCGGTGTTTTGAAGATGTGGGGTGGAAAGTACAAGGCGCTTGTCGACACTCCGGACGGCAAGGCGCCGCCTGTGAAGGGAAAGGCTTTTCTGGTCAAGGACAAGGAGATGGAGGACACGCTGCGGACTTATGAGACGGACAAGTATGAGGTTACGAGATGCTTGATTGAGATGGCGGATTCTGTTGAGGAGGTCAGAGGCTTGACGTTCCGGTTCGCTGGAGAGGCGGATGAGGTAGAGTAGTGATTGGAAAACATAGGAGATACAACCAGAAGTTCGCGTGTATATGCGCAATGCGTTTATTCCATCATTGAATAGAATTCTTGCGGGCGTCATTCAGAGTTTGCTATATGCGTACCTCTGCATGCGAGTAGCTGCCTACCATGAGGTTTCGTACTATTTCCGCAGACTTTCGTGTGTTCTAATAATGCCAGTCCGCCAGCACCACGCCGCTTCGCTCCTTCACAAGTTGAAGCAACAAAGATGTAGTGTTTAAGTATGTTTAGCATCTTTCGCACCGTCATTTGCTTTGGGATAAAACTTTCGAATTCCATTTATAGTAGCTTCTTAGGAAGTCGAACCAAAGACGAGTCATGTTGAATGGAAAGCTTCCACATCTAAAGCCGAGAGAATAACGCCGAATCGCGTTATGGCATAGTGAGTTGGCGTTTGTTAGCTATAGATACTTACAGAGTGCTCCAGTGGCAACATCTTGTCGATGGAAGATAGATCATCATTCACAGAACGACCTAGATCTACTTGTTGACAACTTAATCAGAAAAGAATTTCTGCTTACTAGGAGAGGCTGAATGGTGCGCGCTCGCGATATTCTCGCCTCAAACAGCGCTGCGGCTGAGCAAGGGGTTGAAGATCTGGACCTGGGGCTTTCCAGTATTGTTCTTCCAGAATCAAAATTGCCGAAGCCTTTAAACTTCTCTCATCGTCATTCACTCAACACTCACTAGATGCGAAACGCCAGTATTTGCAGAACACCATGCAGCCCCCTTTCAGACAGTGGCAGGTTTCCCATAGTAAGACGAATCTGACAGCAGTATCAACTCGTAAATCAAATTTGCTAGAGTCGAACGCGTTACAAAATTTTATTCTGTTCCTTTGCAAAACTTCACCTACGGGCAGCGACTCAGCAGGTTTTCGTAGGATGGTTAGAGTCACCCGCTTGAGAACGTTGGAAAATATGTTTGGTAGAGTTATGTGTTTGCTGAGATCTGATTCGTTGAATTGGCTCACAACAGGGAAATTGAGGCGTACGATGCATGCTGTTGCTATTATCGGGTGATTTAATCCCTTAGTGTAGAGGCTGGCTATCGCAAGGGACATCAACCAAGGGTGGTGACGATGAGGCAGATGAGACGTAAGTAAAGACGGATAAGGTAAGCAAGTGAGCGGGGAACGCGCAACGGCTCAGCACAATGGGATCATTGCCACTGATTGGTCGGGTACACTGACCGAATTGCAAAGAAATTTATTCTGAAGTGGACGCGAGATCACCATTCCTATTCGCCAGCAGGTGCTCCAGAATTCTTCGGGAGCGAAATACGGAATGGGATCGGAATATCCGTAGAGCCAAAAGAAGATAAGGTTACAGGACAGCTGCAGCCAGGCCGCGCGATAACTAACCAATAAACGCCAGATGTCACCCCGTTGAATCGCGACTGGCCATGGCAAACCAAAGGTGCGAACCATGCGGCCCATAGCAGCCTCAACCAGTAGCCAATCAATGTGGCGTGAATCGCTTTTACCCGTTCGAACCATACTCGGCGCAAGTCAGCATCTGCCCCGCAGATTTCGACTTGAGATATGACAGGAATCCATCAAGCTGTGGGTGGCTAAAATTAGAATACCTTCATTTGCAAATATACCTATCTAACATATCTCATCTTGCACTTGCATCGGAATTGCCACACTTTCGGGTAGCCCAGTCCCGAACACAGAACGTCGAGCTTTTCCCTCGATAGGTACTTACCAATGACTCCCTATCCGACTTGGATTTTCACGTAAGTTAAACTAGGTTGTAAAGGGCACTCATAACATTTAGAAAGATGGTGTTCTGGTCGTATTGATAGTAGGGAATGGGAGGAGTGACAATGAGACTACGCCCCGTCCACCAAGGTTTCCGACCGAATCGCGCGGCATTGAGCCCCAGCCTGTGAAGCAAGGTGGTTCCTCAAGGTGTCAGCCCTTGAGAAACTCCTTCCACAGCCCCATTCAGTACCATCAGGCTTGATTCCACTGCAATGATACTGACCAACACTATGCGACTTTCTATGACGCGTGAGATCGCTCAGCCGAACAAATGTCTTTTTGCACTCATTGTCCCCTTCGACATAGTCGCATTCATGGGGACGTTGAGTGGAATGTGAACGCTCATGAGATTGCATGTTGAAACGCTTGGTGAATTTCTTTGAACAGATAGGACAAATGTACTCTGACTTTTGCCTCTTTGTCTTGGGCGTTTTGACCTGCTGCATTTTTGGCGAAGAGGCCATTCGGGCTGGTTCCGCTTCGGTGTCTGCTGATTCTGATTCTGATCCCGATTCTGACTCTGATATCTCAATGGGAGAGAATGGCCCAGACCACTGCTTAGGTAGGTGAAATGGCTTTCTGAGCTCCTCTTCGGATGGGAAGTCCAACGTCGTGGTACTGTCTCCTCCAATACCATGCGAGAGACGCATGTGCACTTCAAGATCTTTCAAAGTTGCCACGCCAATGGCCGAAGTTGGGCAGCCCTCGATTTTGCACACGAATGGCCTCAGGTGCTTCTCCATATGAAGACTTTTCATATGGCTTGATATGAATCCCATTTCAAAGAAGTGACAGCTGGGTCTCGAGCACTTAAACATGTTTCTGCCAAAGAATTTCTCTAGCAAGGCCAAAGTTTCTGGATTTGAGTCGTGCGCAGCTAGAGACTCGACATGTTGGCGGACCTTTTGTAGGATATCAAATACGTCGATAGCCGTCTCTTCAGACTTCATCTCCTCGAATGTGGTCAAGTGTTTCCGAGTCGACAAGAAGGCTTGCGATAGGTTCTCGAAGAAGGGAAAAGGTTCGAAGACCTTCCACTTCCGTCGGTGTTTGCCAAGAAGAACTGAAGTGACTTTAGGGTTGGTGAAATGGAGCTCAAGAAAACGACCAAGAGCTTCCGCAAGTTCGTTGCCGAGTTTGCTATGCGTTTGAAGGTGTTCCAATGCGGATTCGAGATGTCGGACCCAGTGAAGAGCCGCGTACTCTAGGAAGTTGTAATAGCCTTGTAAAGTATGCCTGTCAGGATCGACAAGCGGAAGTTGAAATGCCGGAAGATTTAGATAGTTCACACATATCATTGTGAAATTGATCTCCTCTGTAGATAGATTCACGTACTCTTTCCGGATAAGAAACCTTGAATTTGCGTGACGGGTTAAGAGGTGTCTCTTCAACTCCCCGCGGAGTGACATGCGGGGTTTGGGGGCTCATGAAAACTGACTGTTTGGCAGTGAGATGGATCAATTCAACGGTGCCGTTGACATCATCTTCCTCGACAAGTGAACCGCAAATGTCCTTGGGGCCATCCCGGAACGAATAGCGATTTAAGTTGACAGTACGCGCTTCGAGGTCGATTGATCTGGCCGTCTGAATCTCGCACCATTTCAACGGTCTCTTGGCACAGACAAGCCAGCTAAGCAGGAGAAGACAGTAATCCGTCTTGCCTTTAGAGGGCATTTGGCTGGAAAGTCTGACCATGATGCGCCCATATCTTGATTTGGTTAGTTGCAAATCGAAGTTAAAACATTTCAAGAAGGGTGGATCAACTAACGCTTCATCAATTTCTTGTGGAAACGTGTTCGGCTGCAGCTCGGTGTATAGGTCATCAAGGTTTGCCTGCTCATATAAATTTTCGCAAATTAACTTGGCGAGTAGAAACATTCCTATGGTCTGTTAATTCATTGAGGATATCATGACGATTAGACCGAGAAAAATAATTTACCTCCACAAACATCCGGGACTTTTTTTGCAATCGAGACTCGTTCTTCGTCCCGTAGCCCAAACCTCTTCTTTATTCTTAACGCCCAATGCAACGAAAATTCAGCAATGTCTTCCATATTGTCGCTGGCCCGTATCTTCAAACTCGCAATATCGCTTAAGGCCTGTCTAGTGGTTTTTTCATCTTGACTCACGAACAGACAGCGAATCTGGTCGGGATTTGCATTTGGCTGATCTTCAACCAGCTTCCGAAACCATGAACAAATGGCCTTTGTCTCTTCTACTGGACATTCGTCGAGGCCATCGAGGATGATGTATGTGCTTGCAGTATTCTTTATGCCGATTTGCAGTAGTTCCTCCAAATGTGAAATCGTGGTAAGAGTGGCATCGGTGCTTGACTGGTACTGACTGTCGAAATAATATAGAAGTTCCGGGTTCTGCTCCAGCAGTTGAAGAAGCAGTCTTCGCCCAATGGAAAGGAAGTTATTTTTTTCCGGGTTGTCAGCCTTACAATAGAAGTACAGGACTGTTGTGTGACTTAGAGCTTGAGCCTGATCAACAATCATGGAAGCCAAAACTGTCTTCCCCGCGCCCGGCATGCCGTTAATCCACAGTAAAGCCGGAATACTGGGAAATCGACCAAACCATCTTTTGAACTCAGCTTTAGATAAGAGCCATTTGCCCGAGTTGGGTGCATTGGATCTGACTTTTAGTAACTTGGCATGGTCATTCTTGACGTTGGAATCCATGCCTGCTCCTTGTAGCCATCCAATTATCCTCTCTCGTGCGCGGCAGTCTCTGTCGCTACGATCTCGAAGTCTTTGCCCTATCTCCTGTTCCCTTGATCTTCTCGCCTGCGCAAGTGTGGTTTGGCCAAGAAGCAACAATCCATGTTGGTCCAAGTTGTGTATTAAATCTGAGAACTTCGTTTTGTACGTTTTCCAGGTCGCATGGTAAATCTGTTTCAACACTGCCGGATGTTAGCTTGGGTTCTCATATGGATGTCACAGGTGTTTTAATTCAACTGGCGCAATTCCCTGTTCTTCAAGGTGATGTTCGCTCATACTTGGTTGTTGAAAATATTTGAAAGCTTCAAAGTGAAAGTCCAAGACATCTTTATACACAATAGCGAGAATCTCTGCCGTGGTTTTGTCATCTGAGAAGAGGTCTGAAGTTTGGAGAAGGAGACAAAGAGTTCTCCCAAGCTGTTGATACGTATTCAAGAGCTCGCTGAATGCTGTAGAGAAACTGTCTCCTATGAGGAGAAGAAGCTTCCATGGTCCCTTCAATAAGAATTGCCAAATCAGCCTTGAAATGTAAAGTTAAGCTAGTGTCTTGCTATTCAGATGGATACATCATACAATGGATGTGGCTATCCGGGCGGATAGTGATCATGGACGACGACAGTAACAACAACAAAGACGTCAAAAGGAATAACGGCCTAAATGGCAGTGAAGGATCTGAAAGAAAGAGTACGAAATTTGATGAGAATTGCAATAGGAAACTTATAACTCAAAGAGCTGATATTCCGCCCGGTCAGTACCCGCCCGAATAGCAACGTTCGTAATGAATGACTAGAATCATACTTTGGATTGTTTAAGTATTGGATGGATGCCTTACATACCCAAACAAACGCGAGAACTTCAGACGTTTGACAAAATACATCGATAACCTTTCCGAATTGATTCATCGCCTCTATGAATCCTTTCAATTTAGTCATGTTTTGTTGCCTTCTTCCTTTATGCAATCTGGTTTGGAGGGAATCGATTTCCTTCGTGAACTCATGTTCCGTTGAAAACTTGAAGTATTCTCTTTCTTGAGGCTTAAGTCGAGATTTGAATGCCTCCAGCTCCTCCTCAAACGGGCTGAGGGAAGTGGCAGTATCAGAAAGCGGTGGGTTTTTAGCATGTGCCATCTGGGGATGAGTCGCTGAAGCCTGAAATTCGGGTGTTAGATTGAGCAAGAGACGGGAGAAAAAATGTCAACCAGTCCTGTTGGGGCGTACACACTTTATGGCAATGTAGCCGACGGGCCCTGATGTACTCCTGCAAGTGTGATAGGACGATGTGCTGTGACGAGGGGCTAATCGGGCCGGTCCACCTACTTGCCAAGGCAGACAAGGCGTCCATGGGCCGCACATAGGTTGCACGGGATAAGGGATAAGGCCTTGTTTATTTCAACGAGAACCCCGCTTCGGATTGCGGAAATCTGTGCCTCATCCATCACACCAAATATACAGAGAATCTCGCCATCGAAGAAAGCACCACACCGGCATCCTCCAACTGATCCAAAATGGCTTCGAAGCGATCATGGTCAACATTTCAGGATGATCACCACTCATATTATCCCAATGTGCCGGCAAATTATGCTTCAGAAGCCCTTTGCTTGAAGTCTGACACATGGCAAAGCAATGTCGCGGGGGCCTCTCGGACTGCAGCGACTTCGTCTACCAATCTACCCGACACAAGCCAGGATGTTTGCTATGGTAGTGTAAGTTTTGTGCATACAAGCCTACCTGATCAATATAATGATAGGCTAAGAGCCTAAAGATCATCGAGGTCAAATGTCTGCTACAGGGATATCTGGAAGAGTCACGTAGACTATTTCCAAGCCCAATCACCGTCTTCGATGTCCGTCCTGTTAGCTCCTACTTTGGAGTTTATTGTGAAGACAGACTTGTTGCAGTACTTTCTAAAGAGATTTGTCAGCTCATATTGAAGCTGAGAGAGGTTCGTGTGCGACAGTTCCAAGCGACTGTCACAATCCAACAGTGGACCGCAGCTCTACAAGAATGGAAAATTCGAAGTGGAAAACCAGTAATGGAGGTTGATTTAATCATCTACGGCTCCAAAGAGGACGCCAAAAGTGTTGGGGAAACACTGTCAACTTCCCCTTTTACCCTTCAACGTCCAAGTATAGACCTTCGCGGAACAGCGTACTACAATCCACACTACCTAGAAATCAGCCATTCTTCCGAGGAAGACATCTTGCGTCACGAACGTAGCTTCTTTGGTAGTATAAATGCACAGGATGTTATGGAAGAAACGATGTCAACGAACGTCGATGTTTCCGAAGAGGTCACCCGAATTCTTGACTCCCTCTCTCATAAGGGAGTTCTTCGCGAACAACTGGCGGATGAACGAATCAAAAGTCAACTACTGCCGTGAGTCGATCTACCAGCGCCCTGTCCCGCGGAAGGTTCTGTCAACGTTGCGTATTAACACAGTCTTAGACACCAAAGAGTTGCCATTGACTTTGTATCCCGCACTGAGACGGGGACACTTTCCCCAAATCTTAGCATGTGGCGTTACGTCGACATGGGGGAAGATTCATAGTAAGCCAACCGCCCACCAGGGACAGATACAACATGTTCAACCACTGATGTCATTGGTAGCTATCAGCATATTATTACAGGATCTAAGTCCGATACAGCCCAACAAGTCAAAGGTGGCATAATAGCAGACGAGATGGGCCTTGGAAAGTCCCTGACTATGCTTTCAGCCATAGCGGGGTCCTTCGATCGAGCGGCTAAGCATGCGATGTGGAACAAAAAGGACTCAATCAGGGATGAAATCCACGCAGGTGCTACTTTGATCGTCGTTCCATCACCATGTAAGTTATTACAGACAAATCTATGGATGCAGTTGCGCTGATGGTTGGCGCAGTGCTGATTGACAACTGGATTGCCGAAGTTCGAAAGTATGTTCGTTCCATTTGATAAGCGTTACGCCTGCGTAGGCTTAACAAAAGTCGTTCTAACGCTGGACAAGACATGTCTACCCAGGGAATTTGACATTTTACAAGTACCATGGTCACAAGCGAAAAGAGTCTCCCCAAGAACTGCTACAATCTCACATTGTCTTTTCCACGTACGCAACCATCGCAGCTGAGGCAAGTCAAACGTCGTCTCCACTGGCTGCAATACATTGGTTTCGCATAGTCCTAGACGAAGGTTTGTTTCTGTCTTCTGTATTTGACGTTCAAAGATCAGGACTCATTAGGTCTTGGTAGCACACGACATTCGGAACCGAACAACCCAGCAGTTCCAAGCCTTGATTCGCCTGAGAGCAGAACATCGGTGGTGTCTAACAGGAACACCGATTCAGAATAGCTTGGAAGATCTCGGATCACTCATGACTTTTCTCAGAGTTCCAGTTTTCGAGAACGCAGCAACATTCAGGCGATTCATCTCGATTCAGTGCAACTCATCGTCTAGACAGAGCTTTGAGGCTTTGAAAACTCTCCTCTCTACAGTTTGCCTACGCAGAACCAGAGATGTTATCAACCTTCCCAAATCAATTCATCATCAGAGAGTTCTCGAACTCTCTGACATGGAGCGCGAACAGTATAATTGCATTATTAGAGACAGCCGACAGATGATCCAAATGGCAGTCAGTATGCGTGGAAGAATGAAACATAACACAGCTGTTCTGCAGTCCCTCCTGCGACTACGCTTGTTTTGTAACAATGGTAGATCTGATTTCATGCAAGCCGCAAGCAACAAAGGCATGCCAACGGATCCATACGAGCTACTGACATACCTCCAGCAGACAGACAACGCAATATGCGTTTATTGTCACCGCAACATTTACAGCATCCATGAAAAGCACAAATTAGAAAGCGACGGCGGTATTCAGGTTCAAGGATGCACCCATTTAGTTTGCAGTGGATGCGTGCCAAAACACTGCGCGGCCAAGTTGAGATGCATTAGTTGCTCGACTCAAGGCCAAGAAGATGCGGTCAACGATCTCACCACTCCTACTCAGCAAAGAATAACAACCCAATTGGGGTCAGATGCGGACACAGTTTACCCAACGAAGCTTAGAGCCCTTTTACAAGATCTTCAACATGATTTTCGCAGTTATGATCACTATGACAAAAAGAGGTAATTTGAAACATCTTTCCGAGTTTCCAGTCCGTGTTTCAACCGACAATTTCTGACAAGGCACTCAGTATCGTATTCTCATCGTGGAAGAAGACATTGGATCTTGCAAAGAATCTTCTTGCTTCCAATGGTATAAATTCGTACCTCATTCATGGATCTTTGCCAATACCGGAGCGGACAAGAATTCTTAAAGAGTTCCATTCCCTTGGCGGAGCGAATGTTCTTTTGATGACCTTGGGAACAGGCGGCGTTGGGTAAGACGGTGTTTCTGAGGTTATCTCTGGCAGAAGCTAATAGCGACACAAGACTGAACTTGGCGAATGCGACTAGGATTTATCTCTTGGAACCTCAATGGAATCCATCAATTGAGCTTCAAGCTATTGGCAGAGCTTTCCGGTTGGGTCAGGAGCAACAAATAATGGTTATACGATATATCATGAAGGAAACAATTGAGGACGTAAGTCACTCAGCCCAAGCAAGGACCCGGAACTAAAACATCCATAGACCAATGTGTTACAGAGACAAGAGAGGAAATTGCAATTGGCCGACGGAGGCTTTTTACAGAAACCACGGCCGTTTTCCTCGGAAAGAGCCGAGGCTATATCCGTAAGTAATGTGCTTTATCCGCCCCAAGCAGCGTGTGGCAGCGGTCTAACTATGAGTCTTAGGAGATCTTTGGGGTGGATCTTCGAAATTGATTTTAGCTCTTGGTTCTAGGCGCGTTGAATGGCGCCAATGTGGCGCGTTCAATTCTGTAGTTAATTCATACCTGTCCTCAACAGATGCAAATGCAGCCCAGGCAATGTGAGCTGCAAGTCAAGCCCGAACGGAATAATGAACTAAAATTGAAGTTTTGGTTTAATGTGTCTTCCATGGCGAAGAATCGTTCGCCATTTCAAACCACCCCTCATCCATAGAACGCAGCCCTAAAAGACATGACCGATTCTGGGAAGAGGCCATCTCTACACCAAAATCCAGCGGAATGGCCCCGACCGGATCTCGTCAGCACTGCGGGCTGAGCACGCATGATGTCCTTCGTTGGAAATAATGCGCTTTGTATGGCTTTCAAATCCCTGATCAGAAAGTCAAAGTCAAAGATCGCGCGCTCGTGTGGGACTAGCCGGCAACGACTCAATTACGTCCTGGCCGCCGAGGCAAAAGTCAGCAGGGAACTTGGCAAGACCGAGGCCATAATTGAGGCCATTCAAAAGGCTCTGCTAGACGCCATCACTCTAAGAGATAAGCTGAACGACTAAATAAGATACGTTGACCAAAACCCCTTACACGTCAGAGACAGGGCTTTCGATGATGACCTTGCGTTGCTTCGCGACAGACAGGAAGCTGAGGGAATCGCGCAAAAGCAGCTCTGGATCTCGCAGTGGACGGGGAGGAGACCGAGCATCAACTCAACTCGGTGATCGGCAGATCTATTCAAGACCTCAGAGCGTTCTTAAAAGAAGAACGGGCAATTCCTACGGCAACAGCCCGGCGCTTCAGTATGACGGCGCCAGAGACTTTTCGGCCCCGTAGTGCCGGCAACGACCATCAACTGCTTAAGAAGTGAACACTGCCGCATCAAATTAAAGTTTCTTCTAGACAAGTTCGCAAACAAGGATGTCGGTGTAGAGTCCGTCAACCCGGCAGGCAGCAAGATTCGTGATTCGTGATATCTTCACCAGTCATCCTAGGCAGTTGCCATGAACAGATATCTCGGTGCCTGAACTGACTTGCTAAGATGACGGGTTCGTCTAAACTTGCTTGTGATGCAGATCAGCAATTGATACGCTGAGCATGATTTACGCTGAGCATGATTTTCCCTCGGATCCAAGTTACTCCCATCGTCGGAATTCATTTTGCGTCGTGGAGATAAATGGCAACTGGGGCTGAAACGAGATATTTCGCTTGGCAACGGGTTATTCCAGGACTCCGTTATGATTCTTGGACATCCAGTTTAAGAGTATTGATGCTGCCCTCCCATTTAGAATGTGGCTGTCGTTGTGATTTGTTTTAGTCAACAGCTCAGTAAAAAACTCGACATCATGAAGCTCACCATCATTCCTTTTGCCCTCTTGTTGGCCCGAGTCTCGGCCGAGTGCAGCTTCAGCGGCGGCTTCGGCGCCTGTCTCAACTGGTGCTACGACACGAACCCAGGCGCCGAGACGTACATCATTGAGGGATGTTATAGGGCCGTTTGCTCTGATTGCAGACCCAATTGAGCGGGCGCAAGCAGGTTGGATGTACCCAAATGACCGCGCCGAAGCTGACTTGCCACTGAAGACGCACTCTAAGAAGCACAAAGTCATGGATTGACTTGAAGAAGATGTACCATTATATTCGTGTTCATATCAGGGGCCATACATCAGTCCTACACCGTCTTAGGATCCTTCCCCTCTATGACTTTAGGTCAGGGGTCTTCGTCATCTCCTGACATCATTATACCCAAAAATAAATCGATTGCCCCTTCGATGCTCTTGCTCCCACATTGCCATTAAATACTGTGCTCACTGAATTTTAGTATAAGTCCTACTCGGGTATAGTCCTTTCTTTCGCTCACTCCTGGCTTTTCCGCTGTCACGACTTCATGTCGCCGCCAACAGCCGACGATCCCTCCCCATTACCATTGACCTCATTCGACGCCTGACCTCCTGCTACCTTTTCGTATGCTGGCGCCGCCGTACTCGGACCTTCATAGGCCGGAACTGCTTCATCAACTGGTGGTGGAGGCGGTTCTAATGACAAGGTCGCCATACCCGCCGACGCCGCTCCAACACCCCCGCTCAACGCCTCTTCGACCGGAGGATGCACAACGATTCTGTTCTGCCATCCGCACTCCCATGATTCACCCCCGATGGAAACCTTCACCTCCCAGTGCAACACATGGGATAGCCTCACGCAGTATGTAGTGTACGTTGGTGACATGGTCTCGAGTGTCCCGCCGAATTTGGAGGCGCCAACAACCGAACCCCTGGCGTCAATCTGCAGACCCAAGACTGCCCCAAGATCCAGCACATCCTCCTTAGGAGCGCAAGGGATTTCGAATCCGTCGACTCCGTTGACAAACTTGCTGGTCCTGCCGATGCACAGCTTCCTTGTCTTGCTGCCTTCATGCGAGTCGAATGTTCCCGGACAGATGACACCAACGGTGCTGTGCACTTCCAGCGTAGCGCTCTTGATGTATGCCTTTTGAGGGACATCTTGGATTACTTCGGAGCTCTTCTCTCGGTTTGGTGTAATCCGCAACGTGAAGGGTATCGTGTATGGGTTCCCCAGCTGTATTTGCGTGGGGTACTCGACTCTCATTGAAAAATGGAAATTCGGCACCTTGGAAGATCCAAAGAACTTTTGCGACTTCTGCTTGAAACTCAATTTCGCATCTTCCATTCCGGGAATTAATCGCTGCGTCGACACGAGTCCGTTCATCATTCTCCCAGTCAATCCAAAATCCATCATTGGCGGCGACGGCGACGGTACCGACCACACCCTCAGTGGCATCGTTGCCTCGATGATCTTGCTCTTCCCCTCGACCCGCAACTCGGCTTCGAGCCAGTACTCAACAAATCCATGCCAACTCTTGCCGAACCCAGAGTGTTCAAAAAAAAAGCTTCCTGGCAGAGGCTGCTCTGGCACACCCAGCTTTCCTTGTGGGTCACCGGGCGCATGCAAGAAGCACGCGGCCCTCTCATTCTCAGATAACCCCGCATTCACGGCGGCGGCATCGGTGTGAGTCGGAAGTGCCAATGCAAAAGGCCATGATTGCTCTTCTCCTGTGCCTTGGGCAACGTGTATCGGTCCATGATGGACGACGTCGGCGATGGCTCCCTCGCGCCAGAAGTTGAAGCGGGAGCGGTAGTAGCTTTTTGAGTTGTTTCCACGGTCGATCACGAGTTTTGCTTTGGCACGGCCGAGGATGCGGACACGGATGGTGGCGTCCGGTGCGACGATGTGAGACTTGCGGACGACGTGGCCTAGGACGACGCTCCCTGGGTACAGCGGCGTTGCAGGGTTGACGAGCTGGATAGAGAGGTCGTTGGATCTTTTTATGTGTGTCGGCGGCATGTTGATAGATGGTATGGGGCAATCACTGCGTTGAAAAGGCCGCCGTCAGTGTGAGTGAAATGACGATCAGATATGTCAGATGAGGTTGACGTTCGCGAACGGGCCTCAGCTGAAAAGGCGCTAAGGGTGGCGTTGTCAGCACCTTGGCGCTAGGCACCAACCAGAAGCTGTTTCTCCTCATCCTTGAGAATGTGATCACCACTCAAGATCTGACCATGAGTAATCGCACCTCTTGAATCTCGAAGAGGCTTGTGCAATTCATGCACTCATTGTGCACTTGAAGCTATGGTCAGCAACTTTTTCAGCGTCGCCGGATCAAGCGCCGAACATCAGCGCAAACATGTGTTGTGTTGAGAAATACCTTTGCTAATTGTTCAGTTATTCATTCTCTTCGTAGACAAGATGGCAGAATGATACTATTCATGTTCCTATGGAGTGTACCAACCTAGGTACAAATTCCTGTTATCCCCATCATCCGTGTTGTTTTCATTGTTTACGTACTAGTTAGAGTGTGTCCTTGTACTTATGGAAGACGCTCTCCATACCGGGCAGCAACTCACACGGGCGTATTGAGAGAAGGGATTGTGGATGGACATTTCAATTCCTGGTCCAAGTCCTCGAAAATGGGCCGCGCTGTACGTTTCAATGATCATAAATCTACTAATTCTCCAGCGTTTGCCAAGAATATCTCTTTGCCCTGCCTGTCACGAAACACCATGGTGACTCGGAGGTTGAACGGTAAATGCTCAAAAGCATTGAATCATGAAATTTGCGAATAGAAGCAATTGACAGTTCAGTTTCAAGACTCTTGATTGTAGATTACAAAATGATCTGTTGCCTGGCAAATTGGAGAGGACTGATGTTTGATGTTATGTTGTTGCTCAGATTGGCGATGTTCTCAACGATATAACTGTAGTCCTTAGACCCTTTTTGATGGTGCCAATCTTTCACAGCAATACTTTTGTTGGCAGTATTGACCTTCCATGTGAAGGCAACGGCATCTGTTGTGACTCCAACACATCCCCATCATTAATGTGGATGAATAACAAAACAACATGCATTTTGCAATAGGTACCTAATCATGCCCAGAATTGCCAGTGGACATTTTCAAACGACTTCTTTCAGGTCCAAGTCTTGCTGAACATGCTGGTTTTTTCGGACACAGCTTCGAGGGAGAATTAGGCTGATTCTGCGTGCGAGTCTCGTGACTAGCAGGCATAGAGCTCTGGGTGATGTGGCATCTGCGTTGATTGATGGATTGCCGCCTCATGTGATGTCTGAACGAATTGAATGACAACGAAGGCTCAAGCGGCAAAACGCATTCAAATACAACGTGTTAGGCAGAAACTTGGCAGCTCAGTAAATAGATCTATCTATGCTTGACGCTGATCAGGCAGGCTCAGCCTGCCAAAAACGCGACAGCATCTTGGCTTCTTGAGCCTCCCATCTGGTCATCGTGTCAACCAACCACAGCCACGCTGGACCCTTGGCTTTGGCAACCAACACACTGTCTCATCGAATGCGGAGTTTGTCGACTTTGCGGTCTCGGCAACCCTTGCCACCAACGCCTTGCTGGGCGGCTAGGCAGCGCTTAAAACCTGGAAATTGCGGGCCTCTGCTGCTCCCCCGCTCCGGCTGACAAGAATGCTCGACATTCGAGGCCTCCGTGAAGTTGTGGCATATAATCTTGTCTTGTTCCATCGTCAGCACATCTTCGTCCATCACTGCTCAAGATCGGGGGCCAAAAGATCGTATATTACTACTCGCCGCGGCGTCACCCCACTCACCGACTCCCGGCGGCGCTACTCCTGCTCACGCCGCGCCACCCAGCTAAAATTAAAGGTACCTTACGATCCTGAATATGCCTCATTCGACGCTGGGAGAAAAACTGGAGTCGCAGCGATTATGGTGGAACAAGCAACTTGACGTCAGGGCGTTTCTGGTCTTTCAACGTCTGCTACGATTTTACAACACCTTCGTCATTCTCTCTGCTCTTATCAGCGGTCTGGCTGTCGCCGCCCTAACTTTCCCCGACTTCCACCCCAGTACGTCTGGGGTCGGCGAAGTTGGTGAAGGTCTTCTGTGCAGCTCCGCCGTGACAGGTGTCTTATCTGCAGTCATGGCGACGATGCTGCTCTTCGCATTCGAAGGGTTCGAAAGGGCAACTCGGATGGATCTTGCTGTAGCATGGTCGCCGCTAGTGCTGTTGGATATCTCGATTGTTGAATTCCTGGTCGGAATAGTGTGCTGGTATTGGGCCAAGAACGTTGCTTGGAGGGGAGCTCTGGTCGCAGTGGAGCTGGGGTCACTGATGGGATGCTGCGTTGCCCTTTCGATTTGGGTGTGGTTACGTCTCAGTACGAAAGGAGGTTTAGGCCTTGAAGAGAGACAGCGTTCGGTGGAACAGGGACGTGCAGCAGACGCGTAAAACTTTAGCAAAAACCGACTCAACTCATCTACATACCGTCCGCTTGCAGAAGACGAGCACGAGAAGTTAAAAGCTGCAACCCAGCAATACATCTTTCCATGGCCACGGATCCTTGTCGTTGGCTTCCTCGGCCGCCCACTGCTCCTGTGCTCGGACTGTGTCCCCCGTCTGAGCTGTGGAGGGAAATAGCGTGTTTAGCACCGTCATCAGCAAATCCGCAGACTCTGGCGTTCTCCACCCCCAAGGCCTGACAACAACAACTTGAAGGCCTGGAAGGATTGAAAGGGCCCGGGGTTTCTGGCGATCTGTAGAGCAAGGTTCCGTCTTCAAACACTGCTAGACAGAATCGTTAGCGTCAGACGTCTAATTCAACCTCACTATTTCGTTGCATTCTCGCTCCACCAACTTTGCTCTGTACCGTGGTTATGTTCTTTTCCCATCTGTTTGCCATGGTACTTGGACTCCAAAATCGTCGGCTATTCTCATCGCAGAGACCAGACATCCCTCGAGCAAAACCATTCCATCCCAACACCACGCACCTGCCAGCCAAACATTGTCCTCTCCGTTAACCCATTCCATCCCCATTGCTTGTTCCATCATCTTCTTGTCCTTAGTTCCGCCAGCGCCCATTATCATCTGAACAATTGCTCTGCTCTCAGTCGTTCTGAGCGTGCGTGTAAACGTGGCCGATCGAAGCTCTCTTTTTGCCTCGGCCTCAGGGTCAAGCGGGCAAGTGCTCACTACCGTTCCCCCAGGCATTGTGTGCAAGGCTTCAGTTTTTGCGTTCTTGCAGAAGTCGGTTCGCAGGCAAATGTGTTGGGCCGGCAAGGTGCTTCCCTGGTAATGTGCGCAGCCCTGAGGATAACCGTGCTTGCCGTGGACGACAGAAAACATGTCTTTCGCGCTCGATTTCGCCGGACGGAGGACAGAACTCTCGACGCGGATCGCTGGAATATTTCCGAGAGACTTCTCTAGAGGCGCAAAGACCTTGCCAGCCACATCCGGCGAGACTGCCAGGATCACTTTGTCGAATTCTTCTTCCAGTATTGACCCATCCTTAATTGACTGCCAGCTAATCTTTGTGCTTCCACTTTCTCCTGAGACGACTTTCATGACGCGAGCTCCTAGTCGAATATCTTCAATGCCCTCCACAAGTCTGGATTCCACTTGGTGGACGCCTCCACAGACAGTGTAGTGCTGATGGCCGTGAGATGACTTCTTGTAGTTGACCACGTCGCTTGCTGGAAATGCTAGCAGATCGTCGTGAGAGCATGTTGACACGCTGCTCAAGAGTGGAAGCAAGTAGTGTGTCGTGTACCGGCGTGGCAGCCATATTCTCTTGGTGTATTCCGCAAACGATTCTCCGCCGTCAGATCCGTCAGTCTTGGGATGCACGAAAAAGCATGCCACGGTAAACCAAAACTGGCACACGACCAAGTATAAGATTTCGACGACATATGCCATGAGGCTTCTATTTCCTGGCCACGGGGGGACTCGGTGCAAGTTTGAGGCATGCACAAAGTACTCCCCCGGCATGCCAACGTGTGCGCCCTCGCAGCTTCCACCATCCTTTGCCACAGCTGGAGGCGGTAGAGCTTTCGTGAAGGAGAATAGGAATTTGATCGGATGATATGGGATGCCTAAATGATCATACATACGCATCACATTGGCGTAGTAGCCTCCAGCGAGGGCGCGCATTGGGAGATCGATTCGCTCGACCACGCCGGATTTCCTATCCCGAATTGCAACCGACGCCGAGTCAAATGAGAGACTCTCAGCCTAGCAGAATCAGCATGCAGCACAGTACTGCCCACAATGTTTGCTTACCTGTTCAAGCAATGTCACTGCATAGCGTCGCTCTTTCTCGTTGTGAAGCAGGTATGCAACAGTGAGTCCGGCCAAGCCGGTGCCAATGATGGCCACCCTCTGGGGAGCATTGCAAGTCATGCCGCGTAGTGAGATATTTGGGAGATTGCCCTTTTACCAGGTTTACTCCAGTCTGCTTCAGGCGCGACCCGCGCCTCGGTATCGGAACCAACAAGCCTTGAAATTTTGACGGCGTGGAAAGTTCAGTTGGGTTTACCTTCGCAACGAGCTCTGGTCATCGTCGAGCAGTCATCAGCCCCATCAGCACTCGCATACCGCGCTGCAACATAGGAGCGGCGATCTCATTTATGCAAATCAGTCCCGTGCTTCCAGGTCACCGCCTTCACTGAAAATTTCCCCGGAAGAGACAAGTTCCTGGAAGTGCCCACATCACCAGCGGGTACAATCCCTGAATAGGGGGGCAACGTGTGCGGATGCCGAGGTTGAGCACGGTCACTGACACCGAATCAAATGTTCAGGCACGAGTCGCGTCGATGATTTATGTCAGTTGGATTGCATGGTCTAGGCACAGTTTTCCGGCATATGTGATGTCCTTCAGCTTCCATCTATACTTACTTATGAACAGCTTGAAGAGGTTAAATGATTTATCGAAGGCTTTGTATGAGCCATCTTGTTTTCGTTGTTACGTGTTGTCACTTACCTGTGTCGGATGGACAGTTGCGCCGACTTGACCACCTTCCAAAACTTTTCTTCCGTCGGCCCACTTGACGCTCTTTAGTCCCCGAAGTTAATGTAGGACCCGTTTTCCTGATTCTCGGGCCTGACCCAATCTTGGACTCCGGCACCCCCCATCAGTGCGTTTGACGCAAAATAGCCTTTTTTTCCCGCACTGAGGTGTGGACAGTATCCTTTCTATCTGTTCGTTGTATTCGAACGTCATTTGAATTATAATGCCACTCTACATCCCTTGACCATCTCTGCAAACTTTATAGAGGTGGCCGGATAGTGGGTTGCCTTGAGGTCCAAGGGCTTCGCGTTCCAATTCCTGCCGTCCATAAGAGAAAACCAGTCTTGTATCTCTTGCCTATATGATGATTACGGGACATTACATCTGTAGTCTCTTTCGAGAGTTCGGGTCAAGTGTAGAGCCAAATGATGACAGTCTGAGACTGGCCGAGCAATGAGTCTTTGTCTGAAAAGACCTGTTTCAATGTTTCAATCCTCATTGGAAGGCTTTAGACGTGCTCGTCGACTTACTCTTTCGAGTACCTATTCATTAATTCTCTGTTTGCACATGTTGTCTATTCACTTGTATATCGGGTTGCCCATTCCTGGTCCATGCTTACAGAGACCCTTCAAGGCTTAAATGTTGATAATACTTTGCTTTCGACATTGTTTTCACTGCATGGAGCTGAATACTTCAGACTTCCAAGCTGTTTGAAGCTTGCAGGTGAAGGAGAAGTATTAGTAGTGTGATCTAAAACCTAATTCTAGATTAAGTATCTGGGCTGCAGAATTTCAGTGAAATTAAGGAGGCCAAGGCCGTGCCGTGCCCGCTGCTCTCAATTGTCAACGGTCCCTGGCATCGTTATCTTGTACTATCAATACTCTGATTCTGAGCACAAGTGTGTAAGCAGCTGTATGTCAAGAACTCGAACCGGATGAAACACAAGTTCATGCCATGTTGAAGTTTTACAAGTGCATGGAGCCATGCAGATCGGGTGTGCACAAGTTTCGCATCGACTGCATTAAGTTGAGACATTAATTATCAGTCTTCGCCCCCCGGCGATTGTGGATTACGTCGTTATTTAAGGAGGCGTATGCATCAACTCTTGAAATGGGACCGAGGATGTATTCTTCGCAGATTCCCAAAGTTTGTGTAAATTGGAGTGTCCTGTGACTGCTGTTGTTCAAGCGGAGATCTTTCAATAGTAGTCATGTCAGACGGTGATGGCGGCCAAACGATGGCATAAGCCGACTACATAACAAAGCGTGATCAGCCCAAGAAAAAAAAAAAAAAAAAAAAAAAAAAAAAAAAAAAAAAAAAAAAAAAAAAAAAANCCCAAAAAAAAAAAAAAAAAAAAAAAAAAAAAAAAAAAAAAAAAAAAAAGGAAGATTCCACAAGATTGGGCATTCATCTTGCTTGGCCAAGGGTTTGCTTGCGTTGGTCATGGGAACCTCAGTTGATGCGAATCATTCAATGCTAGAAAAAGCATAGTACCAATCTCACACCAGAAATATGTCCTGTTCTTCCAGCTCTAGATGTTCCCAATCCCTCGCAAAGCCTGTTCCCAAGACCATTGGAATCCTGACGAAACATTTGCCACCTAGTCTGCGAGTGGTTGTGTGTTTGCTTCCAATGTAAGCTTCGCCGACGATTCGGTAAGACGTCCGCCTAAGATCCAAGCCGGGGTGTTTTGAGCTCTGCTCTCGCAATACGACAGGTGAACGCGTGCCGGAAATGGCGACTATCCAGTCGCCTTCCTTGGCAATTCCCGGAACCAGACCGTAGTATCCTCGCTCGGTGATAGCAAACTTTCGGTTGTGAACGTGGTCTGTTATAAAATCTGTAATGTTGTTAGGATTCCTTGGTGTGTCGTTAGCGCTACTAACCAACCAAGTCGAATCAAACAAATTAATCAATTAGCTAATTAAATTGAGGCTATTTAGTAAAGTAAATAATTAAGTTATTATCACTATAGATTTAGACGATTTAATTAAGTTAGAGGTTAATTAGAAGAAATAAAATCTAATCTCTAAATTAATTATAATTTTTAAAAAGTTTATTTTTTTAATTAAAAAAAATAAAAAAATTAACTTAATATTACTTTTTCTAGCTACTTAAGATTATAACTCTTATAACTTTTATATTAAAATTAATAATTTAAACTAGTTTTAAATTAATATCTCTATAATTCCCTATATAGTAGACTTATTACTAACCTATTAGGTCTTATTATAATATATCTCTAAGAAAAAAAAGGTAAGTAGTTATAAATATTAGTTTAGTAATACTTTTAGGCTAATAGATATTAAAATAAAGCTAAATACTTCTTAATAATATTAGCTTTATTATTAAGAAGTATTAGAAATATTAAAAATATATTTTTTATTATACTACTTAATTAATATATTTTTAGTTCTTTTACTAGAGATTAAAAAAAGCTTATTTTTAACCTTTATATTAACTTTTAAAAATAACCTTTTTTTAATATTATTACTAATACTACTACTACTATTATTATTACTACTACTATTATTAATAATCCCTTAAAGCCTTACTTATTTATATACTTTTTTAATACCTTCTTTAATAGCTTACTTACTTTTATAATACCTCTACTAAATACTAGCTAATATCTTAATTATTTTATTAGCTTTATACCTTTATTATTACTTTATAGTATTACTACTTAATTATATACTATATTAATAACTAGTAATATATTAAGTACTAACCTTAATATAAGAGACTTATTAAAAGCTCTACCTTATACTATATAGAAGAATAGATCCTTTATTAATATTAAACTAATCTTAAAAAAAGGGTCTTAAGGCTATACCTTTTAGATTAGAGATAAAAGCTTCTTTATATATAAGATCTTATTTAATAATACTCTAAGTATAATACCTATTTAGTCTACTCTTTTTTATACTAATAAGCTATATAGATAATATATATTAAGTTTACTACTATTATAATAAAGCTAGTAATATTAATAAGTTTTTTAATACTTTAATTATAAACTTTATTATTAACTATTTTAAGACTTTATATTATATTACTTAAACTAATCTTATACCTATTAATAACCTTAATAACTTAAACTTACTTCTAAAGTGTTATTACTCTACTCCTATTACTATACCTAAATTAAAAATTATTTAGATTAAAGATCTAGCTATAAACTTCTTAGTTAATACTAATAACCCCTTCTTAACTTTTAGTAATTAATATATTTAGTATATCTTTAACTTATTTAATTATAATATTAGTAATTAGATTTATTAGTTAAGAGATAATATAAAAACTTATCTTAATTATATATATATATCTAAAAAGGAATAGATTAAGAAGGAGATACTTAATACCTTTAGCTAG